ATATAAAAAAGTAGACATTACAGTTGAAACAGATTTTTAGAAAGATATTTCAAAAATGCAATTTTTTAAAGGTTAGCATGACCCCTGCTTTCATACTTTATCAGTTTCAGAAATACTGTATTATAAAGGTCATAATGAACAGTGTCATAATTTTCATTGCTGCAAATGTCAAATTATGAAGTTTAGAAATTTGTTTAGTCTATAATAATTGCATTTTTCCTCTTTAGTTTCTGCATACTTCTTTCTTCTACAACTTAAATTCATTATTTTGTATGTTATTTCACAACTAACTGTTAGTACTTTAGGGAAGGTTTACTATTTTACTTCTTTCTTCTACAACTTAAATTCATTATTTTGTATATTATTTCACAACTAACTAAGTACATTCGAGAAGGTTTTTACAAATTAATTAATTATTTTACAAATTCATCTTTACTATATATTCATGAAAAATTGGTCTCGTAGTTTGTATCCTATAAAATATCCCAGCAACATATCCAATTAATGTGTGGATTTCACATTCCATTCGATTGACTAGCAGTGATAACATTTGACTATCCACACACTAACAGAAACAGAATTTATTTCAGTGTTATTCTTGGTTTTATTTCCTTATAAAATTGATTCTGATAATTAAAGGTGACACAAAATTCTTTAACTAAAATATTCTTATCTTTTAAAGAATTAGAAAATGTTTACCTAAATAAACAGTGGATGTACAAACTGGCTTACAGATTACACACTTGTCAGTAAATTAAGCATCTTGCATAAATAGCAGTAAATATAATTTTTCCTCATATTTGACATTTCTAGATTAAGGTTTTCTTGTACAGACTGTTTGAAGTAATAGTTTCCAATTGATGGACTGTTACATTTACTATTACTTATGTAGATGTGTGTGTAATTTTCATCAGTTATAATACAAAATATAAGGCAATTTTCTTCAGCTATACTTAATCTACCATAGCAACAAATATTTATCATTAATTTTTCACAAAAAAGCTTTTTTTAAATTATAAATACCAAAAGTAATACAATTCCCATACCCTGTTGAACTCCCGTTTCTATTCTAACCCTTTCTCCTGGAACAGGGGTGTTAAGGTAAGTCAAAGGGCCAGCTCCAGGCATGAAATCATTGTCAGGATCTTCAGCATAGATCCGAGCTTCCAGTGAGTGACCATCTAATTTAAGCTCGTCTTGTGTCAGTGGCAGTATTTCACCAGCTGCTACCTGAATAACGTCAGAGCAAAAATCAAGAGAGACAGAAGAACCCAGAAACAGATACTACAGTTTATCCCATAATTCAAAAAGTTTTGCTAAGCCTGAATAAACAACTATGAAAAGTGATTCATTCTTCACTTTTAATATTCATGACTGTTTGTTTTCAAAAGTTAAAACATTTTGTAAAATTTTTGTATTTCTGGGCATGACTGACAAAGTATAACTAAATTGTCTTTATCTACTTAAGTTAAATTACACAAGTTGGGAATTACTTTAAACTATCTGTTTTTATCATCAGTAGTCATGTATGCTGATCATACCAGGTAGAAATAAGGGATAAATCTACAAATATTTTAAAACAACTACAAGACACTAGCCAAGTAACACAAGTTTAATAGTTCAAAAAACTCGCATATGAACCTATTTTTTACTGTGAAAAGAACAAAACTTTAGGTACTATTAAGTATAACTATCAGTATAGATTCTATACAAAACCATACTGCTGACAGTGCCTACAAGTTTCCATAAACTAAAATATCATGGTTACTCACTAGACTTGGAATTTATGAGAGAAGTTTAAACACATTTCAGCACGTCGACCACGAATTAAAAGCGTATACAAGGTAGCCTGTTACCTCCAGCTGGTACTTGTGGTTGTGCTTTTGGTTTATCATAATTTAGATTATATAACTGGGAACCCACTTAAGCCATCAAATTAGTGCTCTGCTGTTAGTAGAAAAGTTAACATAATTTTAGGGTGTATTTATAGACACATTTGTTTGGAAGTCAAAACAGTTTTGGTCTCTATCTAAGAAAGGGTATTGACTTATTGAAAGGTATACTAGGATGATTTCAGAGCTGGAAGTGTTATCTTATAAGAGTTAATTATCTACATATGAGTCACTATTTAGGCCTCATTCAGAATACTGTTACACTTTTAGGCTCTTTAAGAAAGAGTACTGACTTATTGAAAGGTATACTAGGATGATTTCAGAGCTGGAAGTGTTATCTTATAAGAGTTAATTATCTACATATGAGTCACTATTTAGGCCTCATTCAGAATACTGTTACAATTTTAGGCTCTTTAAGAAAGAGTACTGATTTATTGAAAGGTATACTAGGATGATTTCAGAGCTGGAAGTGTTATCTTATACGAGTTAATTATCTACATACGAGTCACTATTTAGGCCTCATTCAGAATACTGTTACACTTTTAGGCTCTTTAAGAAAGAGTACTGACTTATTGAAAAGGGTTTAGAAGATGGGTAATATGTTGATCCCAGAAATGGAAGAATTATCTTATAAGAATAGATTAAGATCTTCTAACCTATCTTCTCTTGAAAAAAGATGGGTAAGAGACATTCTTATTGAAGTTTAAAGATCATCCATAGGATATATATATAATTAAATCTTCTGATTTTCTTTCTGTTGTATTCTAAAGATAACAAGAAGAGAGGCTTGGTTTAGTTTGTTTTGAATCTTGCATAAAGCTACTCAAGAGCTATCTGAGCAGCCATCTCTAATTTAGCAGTGATAAACTGGATGGAAGGCAACTAATCAACACCATCTACCACTAACTCTTGGGCTACTCTTTTTATCAATGAATAGTGAGATTGACTGTCACATTATAACACCCCCACAGCTAAAATGGCAAGTATGTTAAGTGATGGGGATTTTGGGCATAGGATGAGAGGAAAAAAGTTTAAGATTTGGAAAAAAAAAACAGGCTAGGCTTCATTTAAGAAAGTTTTATTTTTCTAACAGAGTAAATGACTTATGGAATGAGTTGCTGAAGCCAGCACTTTACACGAGTTTTACAAGGGAAACAATGACTCCTTGAAAAATAAATGGTTGGTTAAAATTATTATGTTTCTCAAGAATACGGACACTCTTGAGGAACCAAATGATTCCTTTTTGTCCATATGTTATATTATATATATATATACATGGGCATCTGCAAAAGGGGGTACTTGCCCCCCTGGATTATTAATTTTGCATTTCCCTAGTTATAGCTTTGATATCATTTTGTCATCTTTTCCCCACTGTGTAATATACCCTGTATACCCATGTATATATATATATGTGTGTATATTTCCCCCAAATACTTAGTATGCATAAACATTTTTAACAGTTTTAAGATATGTCTATACTATATTTATTTATTTATTTATTCAACTTTGAAAAATCTATATAAGAATGGACTGTAGTAACAAAAAAAGAAGATACATCTAAAACAATACGATGGTGTATAAGAAATGAGAATGTTACATCCACAAGTAAAAAGTAACAATGCTACAAAATATAAACAAAAAACAAATGTCCACTGCACATCATGTTTTCAAATTAATACATAAACAGTGTAAGATATGCTACATTAAGACCAGAAAATTATAAATACAAACTAATGTATTAAATTATATAAAATAGTTGTGTCCATAAATTCTGTCATAAATGGTCTTAAACTTAATGGTAATTTCAGAGACAAAATTCTACAAAAATACACATGAGGTTTATCTTAATTAGTCATTTTTTAAAAAATACAACATAACCATTATAAAGTTGTTGTTTGTTTTACAAAAATACAACATAAACATTATAAAGTTGTTGCTTGTTTAAAAAAAATACAACATAAACAGTATAAAGCTGTTCCTTGTTTTAAAAAAAATACAACATAAACATTATAAAGTTGTTGCTTGTTTAAAAAATACAACAAACATTATAAAGCTGTTCCTTGTTTTAAAAAAAATACAACAAACATTATGAAGCTGTTGCTTGTTTAAAAAAATACAACAAACATTAGAAAGCTGTTGCTTGTTTTAAAAATACAACAAACATCATAAAGCTGGTGCTTGTTTTAAAAAAAATACAACATAAACATTATAAAGTTGTTGCTTGTTTAAAAAATACAACAAACATTATAAAGCTGTTCCTTGTTTTAAAAAAATACAACAAACACTATAAAGCTGTTCCTTGTTTTAAAAAAATACAACAAACATTATAAATTTGTTGCTTGTTTTGAAAAATACAACAAACATTATAAAGCTGTTGCTTGTTTAGAAAATACAACAAACATTATAAAGCTGTTGCTTGTTTTAAAAAAATACAACAAACATTATAAAGCTGTTGCTTGTTTAGAAAAAATACAAGATGAAAGTGAAGGTTTAACAATAAATAACTTAATAATTTAGTTAAACTAATCTTACACATTGTTTGAAAAGAACTGTTGAATTTAATGATTTTTAAATATACACTAAACTAGTACAAAATACGCAGTACGCATTTATAGAAGAAAAAGAAATCTATGACTGAAATATTACCCTTAGCTGCCACTCCACTAGGTCCGTCCCTGTCACCATTTCTGTCACAGGGTGTTCGACTTGCAGTCTAGTGTTCATTTCCATGAAGTAAAACATCTGACGTTTATCCATAATAAATTCCACTGTTCCTAGAGTTAATGAGGCTTTTGTTAGTCTTTTACTAGCTCTACTGTTCTCTCAATCAGCAGGGAATTGATCACCAAGGTTTGATTAATCCTGTTGTTGTTAACTGAGTATTTGAGATAGGATTTACTTTTAAAACGAATAAAGACAATTCTGAGTTTTTCAGGAACAATCACCACTTCTTTATGTCTAGCTGTACATTCATTGTTTTACAGAATTATGAGAAAATTAAATTTGGATGTAACATTAATGCTGAAATACATACGTTAACTAATGTCCTATGTAGAATACTTTATTGGGAATTTTTTTTACAATAGGCTGAGATCCATAATTAGCTACAGCATACTTATATTAAGAATGATATATTTTACAACTGCAGATTGGTTGTTCCTTAGTCTTCACAGACTTCCTCATAACTAAACTAAATAACTGTCTTTGAACTGTTTTGGTGATGACTGTTGTTGATTATCTAACACCAAAACTCTTTTGTTTTTTAAAGATTTTTTCATTGTTTATTTGGTTGAACTACTATCATCTTTATCATTGCCAGTGTACGTATGCATTTTTTTTACTGATTTTTCATAAATTATAACATGCAAAAGGTTTTTAAACTTATTTTATTATCTCTAAATAAATAAAAAGATACTTATAAAATTTTAATTGACTATCTTTATTTTTTATTATGAGTACCTGTTAACACTCACACCGTGGGTAGGTTAAAGTGCACATGACACGACCTTTTATGAAGTTACATACACAATTAGATTAAACCACTTTATAACCAATGTACGTAAATAATCCTGGCATCAAAACATAGTTAATAAATCAACTTTTAATATTATATTGGTTTTAATTTCTTAATTTTAAAAGGAAATATTTAAATAAATCCTCAATCTCCCCTTGAATAAGAATCATGATATTTGTTCTCTATGTCTTGTTTGCCCATTCTCTAATTGATTTACCACCCCTCTCTGAAGTATGGAGTTTAACATAAATTACTCATTATAATAGATATAAAAAAGTTTGATTTTTATAGTCTTCAATATTTTTTGTCAACAGAGACATAAACTAGAAAGCCAAACTTACTCGACATGCTCACCTGTCACGCTCTCTCTCTTTCAAAAATTGACAATAATTCTATCTCATGTTTTATGTAACTTATAACCTATATAACGACAGAGTTTTAATCGATCTAATGATGTATTATATTACATTGTTTTCAGTACAGAGAATCATTTATTTCATTTTCAATTTGAAAGTTTCTCTTGCGGTGTTCAAATTGAGAAGCTTAGGGAATTATTTTATGGCTCTTATGCTATAGTTAGAAAGCCAGTTAAATTATAACAGTTATAGGACACCATTTGGTTTATGTGTGTTATTATTCTGTATTTTCATGGGCATTATTTCAGTAAATAAAAATTACTAAGTGTACTGGTATCATTAGTATAAAAAAAAAAAGTAGGCTTCAGTTTCATTGGTAACAGGCGGCAAAAGAACAAAAGGTCAAAGATAAGTACTGTAATTCTTGTTTTTCATGCATATTTTTTATTGTTATAGAAGTAATTAAAACATAAAAATTAGAAACCTATTAGAGTCGATTAGGCAAGATAATTATGTATAATAATTCTCCATAAGGTATATTTGTAAATAGCTCATGCATTACGTCATTCAATATGGTAACTTGAGCTACACATTTACTGAGTGATTTACAATTTGTATAGCAAGATTAATAGTTAGTCACAGTTCAAAGGGGAATAAAAAATAAAATTCGATTGAAACAAATGTAAACTGTTATGAGCTTTATTGTATTTAGAATAAACAAATGTAGTTTCCTGTAACAATATGCAGTCATTCTAGAAAGAAAGAAGGGTAATTTAAATTTATTTTGTATTTTTTTTACAAGCCTGGTTAGATGGACCAAGTTAGAGTTAGGTTAGAGAAAAACAACAGATAAAATATAAAATTTAACTGGGAAAAAAAGTGGTTGATATATATTTAGGAGGTTTTAGAGGTTAGACAAATGTGGATTGAAAACTTTCAGATAAAGAAAAGTATTTTTGATCTTAGCATGAAAATCACTTTGTACTCAGAGCAGTCAACACTGTGACTCACTATATTCACAGACAAATATTTAGTAAAAATACTTCATTAAAGAATTTGACTTGTTGTGTCAAAAAGACTTGTAATGTTTACTAAAAGCTTGCCAAATTTTGTGTCCAAAAGACATGTAACGTTTACTGAAAGCTTGCCAAATTTTTGTCCAAAAGACATGTAATTTACTGAAAGCTTGCCAAATTTTGTAAAAATACACAAAAATATAAAAAATTATAGTATAGAAACTCTGATGATTACTTTTTAATTATAAGAAACATCACATTAACTGACCCCATATGGAAAGAGTTAATGCCACAAGAAGCTGCATTTGAACAGACTTGTACCTAAAAGTTACAGAAAATTAGGTCCAATCATACCTGCTCCTACATAGTTAACAGCTTTTGCTGCTCGTACAGCTGCTTCCCCGATTAGCTGCCGAGTTGTTTGTGTCAAACCAGGCTAGAGGACAATACATAAACATATAATGTAGTCGTAGAAGATAAAATAACTGTTTAAATCATTTTCTAAGCTACTCATCAACTACACTGAAAATTGAAAAATAAAGCATTTTAAAAATGTTTATAGTACACATATTTACAAATTTATGATACTTTGTTGTTATCTGCCATATGATACAGTACAGTCATAGTCCAAAATAATAAACATTTTAGTTTTCATTCATTGGACACATATATGACACATAAAACACTGCAATCCACTAGTGTTACTCCTGTACTCAGTTTATATTTCACCATATACTAATTATAAGCTTAGACTAGATTAAAATGCACACAAGTATCAATAACTGAACTACAACTTTCAGATGTCAAAGAGCAATTGTTCACGACATTATACTAAAATAGGATAAAGGAAACATTTAAAAATAACTTTTTTAGTATTGGAAATAGTAGAATATTGTAATTTTTATGAACCATCCTGAACTGGACACTTATATTAGGTTGTCAAGAAATTAATGTCACTTTTTTTTAGATGAAAAAACTCGAACAACTTATGTGTCAAAACAAAACATTTATTAAATGAAGTATTCTCCATTCTTATCGGTGATGCTTTTCCATCTTACAATCAGGTTGTTAATGCCCTGATTAAATAGATCATCTAGGCTTTGAAGCAAAAAACACGTCGATGTCCTCTTTAACACCTTCCACATTTGCATATGTTTTCCCATTAAGAT